ATTTACCCTGGTGTCAGAAACATCTGGTCTTGTGATCTCCACCCTGATCTTGCCTTTCTCACAGCCTACCAGAGGCCTCACTCTATTTATCAGGGTGAGGGGAAGTTTGAGACTGTACTGGAGGGATCTGTTGGATGTGCCTGGTGAAACTGGAGGTTTCAAACAGGAGTTTTTAAAATAGAATTGCTTAGGCTCAGGCTTAAGGCCATCCTCACACATAGGGAGAACACTAAGCACCCTGAAAGCCAGGAAATGGTAAAGGTCTATGTGTATATCAATGTGCCACTAGCCCCGCAAGTTCACAGCTTATGTGGTGAAAACTGGGATAATAATCAGGAGAGAACCCCAACTCCATTTGTTGTGTTCCTACATGAGAGAAGCTGTGGTTTTTAGGGTCCTCAGTTTTTGTTTCTCCTGAGGGTTTTTTTGTTTGGTTGGTTTTTTGTTTGTTTTTTGGTAGCGGTGTTTATCCACTGATCCATATCCCCAGCCCTTTTTTATATTTTTTATTTAGAGACGGGATCTCACCAGTTTCTTAGGGTCTCATTAAGTTGCTGAGGCTGGCTTTGAACTCTGATTCTCATACCTATACCTCCTGAGCTTTTTAAATGTAGATGAAGTAGTATCTCAAATCCAGAACCCAAATTTGAAATCTAGAATTCCTGCATAGCTCTTCAAAGGTCAATCTGTTCATGTTTCCAAAGCCAGGGTTCCTGTTGTGATGGGCAAAAGGTGCGACTTATCCAGTCCAGGGGGAGAAATAAAGAATGTCCACATGCTTCTGCCCTTTTCAATGCTTTATTCATTCAGATCATTCAATACAATTTTACTCTATAGGTTCTTAATCAATAAAATGACAATCCTTAATGCTAGGCATTACAATAAACATAATCAATTCACAGCAAAAACTTCTAGATTAATCAATTCACTGCAGACAATTCTAGATTAATTAATTCTAAGCACTGCAAACACACCTAATCTGACAGGCTAATGACAGACATTCCCTCTGTGTGCTAAGCTCAAGTTCAGTTCAAAAGTCTCAAGCCTTAGGCTTTTAAGTCCAGCAGATGCACACTCACTCAGACCGAGGTGATTGGGTCTGGGACCGAGGCAGACTTCTCCTGGGGTAGAGTTGACAGCTGGCTGAGGAGAGGGTCTTAGAGAGAAGTTTCCATTCTCACCAGGGTCAAGATGTGGCTATAGAGTTTGAGAGTGGTGAGGAATATGCAGAGGATTAGCAAATGATGATGTCATCATCTAGGTCCTCATCAAGCTCTCCAGCTTGTGTGCATCAGTATAGGTTGACTGAATGTTTGTTCCTTTGCTCTGTTATTTATACTAAATTTGGGGGCTTTTGACCCCCCCTCCCCCTTTTAATCTTTATCAGCTTCCGTCATTTACCCTGAGGTTAAAATATCTGGTCTGGTGGTCCCCACCCTGATCTTTTGTCCTTTCCTTTTTATCAGGTGAGGACAGCCTGCCAGAGGCTTCACTCTGAGTTTATCAGGGTGGGGGGAGTGACTTGTTTGTGCCTGAGGGCAATACTGGTGGGCTCCTCGGTTTGGTGTGCCTAGTGGGATTGCAGGTTTCAAACTGGAGTTTTTAAAAAGTTTATAAAGAATCGCTTAGGCTCAGGCCTAAGGCCATCCTCACAGTTTCCTGTTCACAGTAAATGACAATAAAATAGAATAGATAGTAAAATGACCAGGCAGTCAGGATAATGGGCCCCATTTTAGGAGTACCTTTAAGGCTTATTTCAAATGTAAAAAACCTGGAGGCTGACTCTTGGGAACACCTTCAACCAAATCCTTTGTCCCAGGGATGAACCCAGATGGAAGTTACTGGAAGGAGGATGGTCACAGATAGGATGGAAGAGAACCCAGATGGTGGCCAGGATGCTTTTTTCAATACCTATTTTAAATAAATTTTGGTCCATGCTCTGCCCAAAACCATATATAAACTCCTAAGCTGGCACACCAACATGAGTTTTTCTGCTATCATCCCCCCTCTCTCATGGTAGGAATTCATCTCTTCTTACTTAAAATCCTACTCTGTTTACTCTTTAAAAACAAGGGGTGGGGGGCTGGGGATGTGGCTCAAGTGGTAGTGCGCTTGCCTGGCATGCATGAGGCAGTGGGTTCCCTCAGCACCACATAAAAATGAAATAAAGATATTAAAATAAAAAAAACGAGGTGGGGGCTGGGGTTGTGGATCAATGCACTTGCCTCCATTGTATGAGGCACTGGGTTCAATACTCAGCATCGCATATAAATAAATGAATAAAATAAAAGTCCATCAACATCTAAAAACAAAACAAAAAAAGTAAAAGTAAAATAAATACATAATAAAAATGGCTGGGGTTGTGTAGTTCAGTGGTATAGTGCTCCTGGGTTTAATCCCCAATACCCCCCCCCCACACACACACACAGTATGCTAAATTTAAGGAAAAACATGTCAATTGATGCATTAGAATTGAGAATCTAGGAAAATGCCATAATTCTGTGGTCAGTTTATTTTCAACAAGGCTATGGAAACATTTCGGTGGGAAAAGAGCAGGCTTTTCAACAAATGAACTCCAAGTGGATTATAAACCCACCAGTAAGAGCTAAATATATAAAACTTTGTGAAGGAAACATAACTATGAAACTTCATTTAAAAGAAAATTTAGGCCAGCCCGGTGTGGTGGCACACCCTTAATACCAGCAGTTTGGGAGACTGAGGCAGGAGGATCAGGAGTTCAAAACCAGCCTTAGCAAAAGCAAGGTGTTAAGCAACTCAGAGAGACCCTGTCTTTAAATAAAATACAAAATAGGGCTGGGGTTTTGGTTCAGTGGTCAAGTAGCCCTGAGTTCAATCTCTGGTACCCCCCACCAAAAAAAAAAAAAAAAGTTATACCAGGCACAGTGGCACATGCCTATAATCCTAGTGGCTTGGGAGGCTGGGGGAGGAGGATAGCAAGTTCAAAGCCAGCCTCAGCAATTTAGCAAGACCTTGTCTCAAAATAAAAACTAAAAAGAAGGGCTGGAGATGTATCTCAGTGGTTAAGCACCCCTGGGTTCAATCCCTGGCACCAGAAAAACAGTTTAAAAAGTGCATATACAGGGAGGGGGCAGGTTGTGGCTCAGAGGTAGAGCGCTTGCCTAGTACATATGAGGGGCTGGGTTGGATCCTCAGCACCACATAAAAATAAATAAATAAAATGAAGGTATTGTGTCCAACTACAACTAAAAATAAATATATTTTTTAAAAAGTGCATATATAAATATGTAACAGCAAATCACACCAATATGTATGCACCAATAAAAAAATGGAAGAAAGAAAAAAAAACAGAACAAAACTTTACAACCTTGAATTAAGTAATGGATTCTTAGGACATCAGAAATACAAGTAACAAAAAAAAATTAACAAAACAAAAACCACCTAGATTGTTTGGATTTAATAAAAAATTTTAGGTCACTGTGATGCAAAGCAGACTGAAACACTTGTCTTCAACTGAAAACACTTTCAGTTACAGCATCCAGTTGCATTTTTCCCCTTATTTGGAGACTCTCTGAGAGAAGGGGTTATGTTCACATAACACAATCTTATAAGAAAGAATAATACAGTATGGCTTAGAATGCAATTTAATTAATTGGCATTCCTATGCTTCTATTTTCCCCCACTCTTCTTCTTCTTTTTCTTCTTCTTCTTCTTCTTCTTCTTCATCATCATCATCATCATCATCATCATTATTTTAGCACTGGAGTTAGAACCCAGGGGTCTTTACTACTGAGCTATATCCCCAGGCCTTTTAATTTTTTTTTATTTTGAGACAGGGACTCACTAAATTGTTGAGGCTGGTCTCAAATTTGTAATCCTCCTGTCTCAATTTTCTGAGTTGGTGGGATTACAGGTATATACCACCAGGTTGATCTCCCACTTCCATTATTAAGCTGTGTAAGTTACCATTTGTGAATTAAAAAAAAAAAAATTAGCACTAGGCATTGTGGCCTATAATTTCAGCTACACAGGAAGCTAAGGCAGGAGGATCACAAATTCAAGGTTAGCCTGGGCAATTTAGCAAGACCTTGGCTCAAAATAAAAAATAAGAAAGGGCTGTGAGTGTTCAATGACAAAGTGCACCCTGAGTTCAATCTCCAATACTGAGAAAAAAATTTTAGTAATACTTTTCTTACTTATGATTTTGGGTAAGACAGATATCCAAGAAAGATAAGACTTGTAATTTTAGTTCTTTTTATTTTCTTTTCCAGATTGTCTGTGTCTTGAGACTAAGATAAAAAAGACTTTGGATTTATTTATTTGTTGTATACTATTTATGTTTGGGCCTTTGACCATAGACATAGTATCATTATATATATATAGTGGTATTCGTTAAGCTGTATCATCATGTAATGGTCAATAATAAAACAGCTGAAATGGGAGCTGGGGGTGTGGCTCAGTTTTTGAGCCCTTGCCTAATGTGCAAGGAGTGAGATTACTGGATTCAATCCACCAAAAAAAAAATCTAACTGTAAATGCAAAAAGATCCCAAGAACTTGTTTTTTGTGGGGTAATTTGTGTTTTTAATAAAGCTTTCTTGCCAGGCTTAGTGGCACCTTCCTATAATCCCAGTGGATAGGGAGATAAGGCAAGAGGATCACAAGTTCAAGGCCAGCCTCAGCAGCTTATTGAAGCCCTAAGCAACTTAGTGAGACCCTGTCTCAAAATAAAAAATAAGCATGCCTGTAATGCCAGCAGCTCAGAAGGCGGAGATAGAAGGATCACAAATTTGACTCCAGCCTCACAATTCAGCAGGCCCTAAGTAACTTAGTGAGACTCTGTCTAAAAATAAAAAAAAAAATTTTTTAAAGGGCTGGAGATGTAGCCCAGTGGTAAAACGCCTCTGGGTTCAATCCTGAGTACCAAAAAATAAAATAGGGCTGGGGGTATGACTCAGTGGCTAAATGCCCCTAGATTCAATTCCCAGTATCAAAAAAAAGTTTTCTCTTGTTTTCTTTCAGCTTCAAGGTATTGCAGCATGCTGATTGAAGAAGGAGGGCTGCAGCATTTATACAGCATCAAAGAACATGAACAGACTGATCCCCATGTTCAACAGATTGCTGTGGCCATTCTGGACAGCTTAGAAAAACACATTGTGCGCCATGGAAGGCCACCTCCCTGTAAAAAGCAGCCTCAGGCTAGACTAAATTAATATCCATAGATTATTGGATCACTGAACCACAGGAATTTGTGATTGGTTCATTTGGAATATCTTACCCTCTGTGGTGTTTTGGGGGGGTTCTGTGACAAGATTCATAAGATCAGTTTGGGATTGATAATGTACACTACTGCCCATGTGAACAGTCTCTAATTTGTCTTGTGATTTTTAACTAATGAGGCAAGAAAGGTCTCTTCCTTCATCATTGCCTTTTAGGAAATTTTCCACATCTTTCAGTGTTTGAATTTACCTGTGCTTGAGATTCTAAAGTTTTATGATAAAGTTTGCACGAACCCTTAGGCCAGATTCTTCTGATCTCAGCATCCCTTCCAATCAACTTGCAGCTTCCCATGAGCTGTTAACTTGATTTCTGGCACTGCTTCACTTGTAAATTTTATACTGCTTCTGTACAAAATGCCTTTATTCTCTGTGTATCTTTTACAAGATGTCCTTCTTAGTATGAAAGAATGGAAATCTAAGTTGTCTCCTTGTGGAAGTTACTCACTGTAACCTGGATGGCTAACAGAAAAATATTTTTAGAGGGCTGGGGATGTATCTCAGTGGTAGAGCGCTTGCCCAGCATGTGTAAGGCCCTGTGTTCAATTCCTAGTACTACAAAGACAAAGAGAAAGAAAAAGAAAAGAAGAAGAAGAAAAGAAAGAAAAATATATTAGGAAGAAAAACTACTAAAGAAGAATAGAGGTTAGGAATTGGGAATTGCTTTCATGGTATAGTTTTTTAAATGGGCCAGGCTATCCTTCTGGAGACCATCTGTCTTGAGACAGTGAGCAGAAGCTGGTTTTCTGTATTTATGGCTGGAAGTATGGACTGCTACTTCCTGTACAGACTGCAGGTTACTCTCAACAAATATTTCCCCAAATTATCTCAGTATAAAATATTATAGCATTCTGTATTTAAGCCTGTATAATTCTCCATTATGTCATAATGTTGTGAAAATGTGAATTTTTTACAAATTGTCTCTGGTTCAAACTAGCCATTCTTTCCCCTCTATTTCAAAGTCATTTTTGTTCAGTGGAATAGTGACTACTTGTGGTATTGGCTTACTCAGTTAAAATACAATTGACAACAGTAAATTTTGCCACAAAAAGTTTAATTTGGGCTGGGCGTATAACTCAGTGGTAGAGTGGTATTTAGTTTGTGCAAGGCCCTGGGTTTAATGCCCCCCAAAAGGTTAAATTTTCTTTTGTTCATATATATGTCTTCTTAATGTGTTCATGTTGGAGAAAAATGTCCATATCTCACTGCCAAAAATGCAAGAGAAGAATTAGTTATTGTTAAATGTTTAGATACAATGATTATAGTTGCTGTGGAGAAAAGGAAATATTTTTGATGGATTATTTTTTAGACAGTTGCCTTTTCCTTAAGATAGTTGACCCAGTATAGTAAAGAATCAATTATCATTTTATCAATAATTGCACTTGGGAGGCAGCAAGTTGCCTGGAAATGTAAATTCCATTTAAATTTTCACTTTGAGATAAGGTTCTTCTGTAATCTCAGATTACTACTTTTTTTTTCATAGATGGACAAAATGTTTTCAGTAGAGATTTTAAATGGGATGTTTAAATTGCAGTATTTTTTTCCAAAGGTATTTTAGCTTAGAAAGAAGCTGGTTTGATAATATGCTGGTAACATTTTTGACACACATATTTGACCCACTATCACAATAATCAGCTTTGAATTTTTTCAAGTTCCTTCATGGGAATGAAAACTGACTTATATTAAAAGAAAACAAATATTTAGAACCACTAAAAGCACATTAACTTGTGTTTTAATTCTAACTTAATTGGCTTAAAGGAATTTTTTTAGGTATAAAGTGAATTTTTAAAGTTTTCTTTCCTTTTTTCTCCTCCTCATTCTCATTTTTATTATTTTTTATTTTATACTGGGATTGAACCCATGGATGTTTTTACCACTGAGGTACATCCCAGCTCTTTTTGTTTTTCACTTTTGAGACAGGATCTTGCTAATAAGTTGCTTAGGGCCTCTCTTAAAGTCCTGAGAATGGCCTGGACCTTGGGCCAAGGGATCCTACTGCCTCAGCTTCCCCAGTCACCAGAATTACAGGCATGCATCTCCATACTTTGTCTCCCTTTTTTCTCAGTGTCTAAGGCAAAATTTAGAAAATAGGATGGCCTGCAATAACTTGAAAGTTGCTAGCTCTGTTGACCATTTTCAGGTCTGTTTTGTGTACTGAAGGGAAATCCTGTCTGAGAAATTTGTCTTCAAATTTGTTTTACACTGTTCAAGGCAACTGTGTATGTTCCCTGTTAGACTATTGATAGGTTTTTATCTTTACAAATTGTTTTCAGAAATGGCTAAAAATGTACAGAAAACAGTAAATCCCTTCTTTATTCAGAATAAATATGAAGACTCAAAAAATATTTAAAGTTAAATTTACTATTTTAGTAGTAGCCAGATCTGAGTCTTAAAAGCAAAACAAGCACATCTCAAATATATAAAAATTTTGGTGCCTTTCTGGTTGGGATGGTTCTTAAAATTTTGTATATAATTAAGGCATAGAATTAACTGTAAGATCTTGAATCTGGTTGAAATATAATGGATGTATATATTGAAATTATGAGGTATAACTGGAGTCTCTACAGTTAGTGTCTATGAGGCTTCTTTTTTGTAGCTGTAGACTAGAATGTACCAGTACTTGGTACCTTCAAAGGTTACCTTTTGGTGACGTAGAGGTGCTGTTTCAAGCACAGCTTAGACTAGAGTTAAACCACTCAAATCACTGGTGTGCTCAGATATTATTATACATCAGTAGATCAGTTTAGGAGCAACAGCAAGGTTTGGATCTACTAAAGGAAATGGAATTAGACCTTTTAGATTATAATGGTATGTGTGGGTATCATTGAGTAAGACAAGAAAGAAGTAGAACAAATTTTATTAGGGATCTTATTCTTTGTATCAAGTTGTGCTATAGTCTTTATATTCTAAAAAGCATTTCTTTTGGGTTGAGGGCATAGCTCAGGTCAGTAGTTGAACATGTGCTTGGCATGTACAAGGCCTGGGGTTCAAACCCAAGCACCAAAAAGAAAAGAGTATTAGTTTTTTTTGTTTTTTTTTTTCTTTTTGTAGTTAAAAAAGAAGCATAAATCAAGTACTAATGGGGGTTAGTTTATTCTTCAACCATACATGCAATGGCTACTGATCTAGGTTGAGGATTTTTATAAAGCATATCAGACCCATAATTCCTGGAGTTGACCATAAATATTGCTGCTTGTCATCCCTGGGTGGATATGCCATTACTAGAAGGGGATTTCCCTAGGTGGGGGTAAATAAGGTTGTTATGGGAATTTGCTTTCCTGATCTCTTTTATTTTCAAACTTCTGAAGAATCAAAGATTCATATTTTAAACTATTAATCCTATTTGTCTAGTTTAGAAAGTTGCTCTTACAAATGAGTCCTTTTACATTGACCTGTTTTTCTCCTAGTCATTTTAGTTTCGCTGTGTTTTTAATTATGCTATTTATCAAAGTAGCACCGGGCCATCTTCCATCCTCTTTGAGCAAATCTTAATGAAAACATTTTATGCACCAAATTGGGGTAAATTAATGAACCAAAAGTTTGGCTTAGTGTTTTTATTTATTTTTTGTTTTGTTTCATTGGGCTTAGTGTTTTAAAATGCATTACCCCCCCCCAAAAAAAAAAAAAAAAAAACACTGTGTAGCGGTGCTCAAGGAACAGAGGTAGGAGAAATGTACTGTTTTATATATTTAAAAATGCACCCCACTCCTGCCCTCTCATGTATGTTTACATATTTGGTTTTTGTACAACATTAAAAGGGGTATAAACAGTATTATTTAATTTTTTTTTTTAAGAGAGAGTGAGAAAGAGGGAGAGAGAGAGAATTTTTTTTTAATATTTATTTTTTAGTATTTGGCGGACACATCTTTGTCTGTATGTGGTGCTGAGGATCGAACCCTGGCCGCACGCACGCCAGGTGAGCGCGCTACCGCTTGAGCCACATCCCCAGCCCCAGTATTATTTAATTGAAGGCATAAGTTAAAGACAGAGTCATATTGTCAGCTGATGTGGGCTTTTTCAGTTTTATCTGTTGTTATTTATTGGGGGACTTTGTACAGTTAGGGCTTCAAAATTGCTCTGAGACAGCTTTCAGATATGTTTGCAAACTTTTGGTTTCCCTCTTAAATCCACTGTAGCAGTTTTGAATGATTTTGTGAATAAGGGATGTTAGTCTTTACCATTTGCTGAGTGTTCACATTTTTAATTTTCAGTGTTAACTGTTTGTTTTAGGAATAATGTAAAATCAACGTTTGGTGATGAGAGTAGTAGTATGATAGGAAAATGCTGATTGGGCTTTAAATGAGTGATTGCTTTTTTTACTTAGTGTTTCATAGACTTTGCATGACATGGTATACTCCTAATTATGCATTCTTTCATTTCCAAATCAGTCTTAACCCAAGATACTTTTATGTTAACTGACTAGTGGCCTAAAAAAGAACTTATTCTGCTTGTTTGTCCTCTGCCCCACTCTTTTTTGGTAAGTTATGCAAAGATTAATGCTGTTTCTTATTACTCTGAATGGAATAAGAGCTCTCTTGGACAGCATAGCCTAACTTTAAAGCCAGACAGGAAACTATTGTGATGGTAGCATACACCTGTGATCCCAGCTACTCTGAAGGTGAAACAGGAGGGTCATAAGTTCAAGGTCAACATCAGCAATTTAGCAAGATCCTGTCTCAAAGTGAAAAATAATGGGGAGGTAGCCCCGTGGTAAAGAAACCGTGAATTCAATTCCCCATGCTGTGGGGAAAAGATTCAGAGCTGGGCATGGTGTACACTTTCATAATCCCAGCTATTCTGGAAGCTGAGGTGGGAGAATTAGCTTGAGCCTAGGAATTGGAGGCCAGCCTGGGCAACATAGTGAGACCCTGTGTCAAAAAAAATTTTTTTTTCCCAACAATTCAAAATTATGGAAAGTCAGAAATCTAGTTCATTAATAGTATGTGATTAATTTTGGCGTTACTATGGGTAAAATTGGGTTCTTGTGTATTTATTTAATCAGCTTTTGAAGCAAGTAACCACTTAACTAGTGAAAGCTGAGACACTTTATTGAGAGCATTTTTCCCTCTAAAAATAAGAGACTGTGAAGATCAATACTCAGATAATCTGCAACAATACAAGTTTTTTAAATACTTGATTTATATAGGATTCCCTTTATCAAATCCTCACTGACTTGTATGAGAAAAGCTATCTTTTGCTTGAATTCTGATGAAATAATTTAGCTCCTTTCAAAGGATATGAAAAATTGATTGGAATGTGTAATATGTGTACATTTTAAAGACTCAATTATCTGGATTGGAGGCATTGTTTTCATTATGGCCAGATGAATGGGAATATTCTGTACATGAATCATGCTATATTTTAAATCAGGACATCACTTAAGTATTAATGTGTGTACAGATTTTTGTTTTGGATTTTTTTTGCCTAAATAAATGTTATAAATTTTATGTAAAGTGTGTCTTGTCTACTTTGCTTCTAGTCATTTGCTTTAAAATTTAATATTAATGCAACTGGGTGTGGTAGCTTACACCTATAATTCCAGCAGGTTAAGAGCTGAGGAATGAGGACCTCAAGTTCATGGCTGATTCAGAAAGTTAGGAAGGACCTAAGCAATTTAATAAGAGCCTGTCTCAAAATAAAAGAATAAAAAGGACTGGGAATATGACTCAGCATCCTGAATTCAATCCCCAGTACCAACAAATAAATAAATAAAATAATATTAATGCAAGTTTTGGGTTCTGGGCTCCTTAGTGATCTACTTGCAGCAACTGCTTTGTGAAAAAGGCTATATAGTTTGTCAGGCATGGTGGTGCATGCCTCTAATCCCAGCAACTAGGGAGGCTGAGGCAGAAGGATAATAAATTTGAAGGCAGCCTCAGCAATTTAGAAGACCCTAAGCAATTGAGCAAGGCCCTGTCTCAAAAAGGGATGTGGCTCTCTCATTAAGTACCTCTGAGCTCAATCTACAGTACCAAAAAATAAAAAATAATGGAGAAGAATAAAGGTTAAATAAAAATTATTTAACAGTATATTTGAAACCCAGTTCACAGTGCTTAATCCAAACTGGACACCTATACCTGGTGATATAATTGAGATAATTAATTGGTATACATTGTTTGTTGGGCACGGTGGTGCATGCTGTAATCTCAGTGACTCATGAGGCTGAAACAGGAGGATTGCAAGTTCGAGACCAGCCTCAGCAATTAAGGGAGCCCTTACACAACTTAGTGAGACACTGCCTCAAAAAATAAAAAGGACTGAGGATGTGGCTCAGTGGTTAAGCACCTCTGGATTCAATCCCCACTATATCCACCCCCCCAATTCAATCCCCAGTACCAACAAATAAATAAAATAATATTAATGCAAGTTTTGGGTTCTGGGCTCCTTAGTGATCTACTTGCAGCAACTGCTTTGTGAAAAAGGCTATATAGTTTGTCAGGCATGGTGGTGCATGCCTCTAATCCCAGCAGTTAGAGATCAAGGACATTGTCTGACAAACCTGTCTATCTATGGAGAGAGAATGTTTAAGTGCATTTAGTGAAAGGGATTACCAAAAACACAAAGTATTTGTGATTTTTGTTTCAGAACCTTCATTTATAGTTAAGTCTTAGGTAAATCGATTTGCCTAAGTCACAGAACATTGATTGTAGCAACTCCAATTCTCATTTCCAATACAGTGGATCCCACCCCACCATTTTATAACAGGATAACCTGATATTTCTTAGATCTCTGACAGAATGTGATTAAGCGTCAAATGAATGCTACAGGAAAGAATAACGTACCAAGGAGATTGTCCTCAAGAATGACATTATAGAGCAGCATTACTATTTAGATTCTGTACTTACATACAATCGTTAATAAAAAGTCACTACAGAGGGGCTGGGGCTATAGCTCAGTGATAGAGAGCTTGCCTAGCATGCATGAGACACTAGGTTCAATCCTCAGCAACACATAAAAATAAATAAAATAAAGGCATTCTGTCCATCTACAACTATCAAAAAACAAATTTAAAAAGTCACTACAGAAACTACTACTTCACTAATAAAAAATGAGATTAGATTTGTTAGGGTGATTGTAGAGTTTATTGTTCTGGGTTTTTTTTGTTGTTGTTTTGTTTTGCAGTATTGGGGGTTGAGCCCAAGGGCACTCTACCACTGAGCTATATTCCCAACCCTTTTAAAAATTCTTTGTCTTGAGATAGAAGTCTCACTAAATTATCCAGGCTGACCTCAAACTTGGAATCCTTCTGCTTCAGCCTCTCAAGAAGCCGGGATTACAATTGAGAGCCATTGCCCCTGTATCTATGGCTATATTTAACCAAACAAGCCTGGCTTAGTGGGGCACACTTTTAATTGTGGGCGGCTGAGGCAGGAGGATTGCAAGTTCAAGGCCAGCCTCAGCAACTTAGCAAGGTCCCAAACAATTTAGGCAGATCTTGTCTCAAAAAATTTTTAAAAAGGTGGAGGAGGTTTTCAAGATGGTGGAGTAGAGGAGGTCATTTTCCTGGCTGTTCTGTGGAGTGAAACCAAGAAAGCAGACAGGCAGCTTCTCAACAAAAACAAACAAACAAACAAAAAATGGGGGGACTTTACTGGAATTTAAAACTAGACATTCAAAGCAGACTGAGGGCTCAGGAGGTTGAATATAATAAAAGAAGGAAGAGGGCTGGAGTTGTGGCTCAGTGGCAGAGCACTTGCCTAGCATGTGAGGCACTGGGTTCAATCCTCAGCACCACATAAATATTTATTTTTATTTAATAAATATTAGATAAATGTATTGTGTCCATCTGCAGCTAAAAAAATAAGTTTAAATAAATAAATAAAGGAGGAAATCCTTAGTGGCACAGCCACTGCCTTGGCTGGGCCAGAAGCACAGCCAGAGAAGTCCCTCCCTGAGCATAATGGAGGGATAAGGGGAAAAAGGAACCCATATATTTAGGAGGCCTGAGGAGTGTCTGGGTCTGGAGCAGTTAGAGATCAAGGACATTGTCTGACAAACCTGAAAGACACACTGCACAATATCTACATGTGGGAAAGAAGCTGCCATGTCTCTAACAGTGTGCAGAGAACAAAGGAAGGAACTATTTTGCTTGGCTGGCAGCTGAGGGGGCTGATTCCTGGCAAACCTGAGTGTGGGCCAAAATACAGGCCCAGTAAACACACATTACACAACGACAGAGTGTGCTTAAGTGACCCGGAGAGAATCAAACATAAAAAGAGGTTTACACAGGGGACAACTGGTTGTGGAAAGCCACTGAGCTCTACCTCTGCCCATCCAATCTGATTACTTGCAGGACTCCCTGGGAGAGACACATCTGGCCGGGAACTCAGAAGGGTGGGAGTAGATTGGAGACTGAACCCAAGACCAGGAAATGTGGGGTCCGAAGATGATGTAGGGGATTAAAAATTGGGTCCCCCACCACACAAGTGGAACCCAGGGGAGATCCAGTGTGAACCAGCAAATACTGGGCACTGGAGGTACACTTTTTAAAAAATCTTCAGACCAATTGGCATTTGGCAAAGAGCCTGGAGCCCAGCTGAGAATATTTTGAACTCCAATGGAAAGAATTCTTTTAACTTTTCATCAAGATTTTTTTGTTCTTTTTCTGTTTAATTGTGACCTTAATGGTACATGGTAATTTATACATTCTCATTTTTTCCTCTCATTTCTAGCATTTTTGAAGCCAGTTATTTTTCATGGATTATTTTTTTGTGTGAACTAAAATTGTTAAATCATGATGCAAAGAAAAGACCACTGACTCCAATTTTACATCAAATTAAAGCAAGCTTGTAATTCCGGCTAGCTGGTACTGTCTCTCCTGAAATCTGTGGGATGGAAGACAGTACTCCAGCTTGAGCAGAGTTTTATAGCCAAATAGAAATCCTAGTATTTTACAGAAAACAGAAATAAATCTTTTATAACTTTTGACAAGATGGCTCCTGATCTTAAGAGAGAATCTGACTGGGTTCATCAGAATGTTTGATTAGTATATTTTAGTTTTGTTTTGTGTTATCTTATTTTTAAAATTTTTACTTTATATCTCCTTTATTCTGCTATAGTCAATCTCTATTGTTATTTCACTCTTTTTTTACTTCTTCTTTCCTTTTACTTCATAATCATCACATACTATATCATTTATGGTCTATCCCTGTCCACCTTTTGAAATTATAAACCCTTTTTCAAACCTGCTGTTTTTTTTGTAGGCAATAACTGATCATATTATTTCTGTTTATTGTGATAATTAACATTGTAGACATCATAGTAGGAACTGTTTGGTTTAATGCTGTATATTGTTTGCATAGGTGGTTGTTATTATTTGTCTGCCCCTAAACAGTGAGATATTGGAAACCTTCAGGGATACTAAGTCCACAGGGTAAAAGTTCTACTGCCTGAGATCCACACTGTTAGATGGGTAGATACAAAAACAACATGAAAAAGCAAGGGAACAAATTGCCTCGAACAAACCAAGATACTCCAATAACAGAATCCATTGACACCACAGGCGAAGAAGTGTCAGAGAAGGAATTTAGAATGTGCATAGTTAAACTGATCTGTGAAGTAAAGGACAGTATAAGAGATGAAATCAAAGAGAAAACACAGGAAGTGATCTTTCACTTCAATAATGAGGCAAAGATTCTGAAGAAAAAAAAACAATAACAAAGCAGAAATCCTTGAAATGAAGGAAACAATAAACCAAATTAAAAATTCAATAAAAAGCATCACCAACAGACTAGACTACTTGGAAGACAGAACCTTAGGCAATGAAGATAAAATATATAATCTTTTTTTTAATATTTATTTTTTTTAAAAGAGAGAGAGAGGAGGGAGGGGGGAAAGAGAGAGAGATAATTTTAAATATGTATTTTTCTGTTTTCGGTGGACACAACATCTTTTATTTTTATGTGATGCTGAGGACCGAACCCAGTGCCCCGCGCATGCCAGGTGAGCGTGCTACTGCTTGAGCCACATCCTCAGCCCAATATTTATTCTTAAGTTTTAGGTGGACACAATATCTCTTCTATCAAGTGAAACTGCCAAGTTTTGGTCAGTTTAAGCCGTATAGATCTTCCTAACCTCTGACACAGGTAGGATCAATATTTGCTAACATAATTATATAACCCTAAGTAACAGAAATAAAGGGTTCTCTACTAGACACAGAGGACATAACCAGTAAAATTTTACAAGATCAGATGACATTGAGTAGCTTAGCTACATCTCATGGGGATGGACACCTGCAACATTAAAAGTTAAATGTTGTGTTTATATTCCTGATAACTTTAAAGATGTTAAAGATTTACATTCCTATATAAAGGCCTTGTCCACTCTGGCCTTATTATGAGAACAGCTTCTTCACACCTCCTGGTGAGACATTAACTTCTGTTGTCTTTATGATATTCATTGACATGTTCCAGAAGCTGGAATATTTGTTCAATACTCCTGTTTTTTG